GTAAACATAAAACCATGTCTGCATTTGTGATCGGAGAAATGACAAACAACAAGCGCAACTCTACACTTGCACTTAATCCACAGCGCGAAGTTGATGCATTTCCTCCACGACCAGCACGGATCAGTTCCGCTCTAGGCATGACGAAGCGGATATCGTCCTCTTTTGGAAGGCCAAACAAAGTAGTTTCGCTTTCACAACGAAACACACAGCGTCATCACGACATGGCGACAACAACAATACTACAGTGAGAATAAAAGTTACGCCTTCTTTCTTTGCGTGAACATTTGGGCGGCGTTATGCAAATCTTTCCACATCGTGACGTAGACATGTGGGGGCGTGTTAGAACGAGCCGTTTTAGGTAGGCGTGGTTGACTTAACTTTTATAAAGAATATCTCTTTGGATTTGAGACTTTAGTCTTTGCAACTTTACAGATCTTCTTTATGCACCAAGAGCTTGTAACACTCCAAAGAGAAAGGAAAACTTGAAATCGCGTCATATGACCCCTTTAAAAGATCTTATTTCATTCCATTAAACATGTATACTGTATATCCTGCTTGAGTTTTTAGATCATGCAGGTCTGCTGTTATAATTGAAAAGCAATATAGATTATTAATATTAATATGGTCTTTTCTTCAGTTTATTGTTGACGATTATGTAACAGGGTTGGCTATAGCATATATATTGTGCGTGTAATTGGAGGTGGTTTTCTTAGTGTGTCCACCATCTTTTGGCTGTAGTGAAAGTGGGAGGGGCTTATACCGTGACCTCCCTCCTGCTTCTGCCTTCCTCCAATGGGCAAGAAGTTACCAGAGTGACAGTGACTCTGACGCGGATCGCCCTGAACCAGACCTTGTGCAGGACGACCTAGCGAGTCGCAGATTTCGCTCTGTAACCTCCGTGGCCCCTGTGAACTTTGCGATCCCTTCAAAGCCTCTAGGCCCTAAGGTGGCCTCTATGGTGACCCCAAGTGCTAGGAAGTCATGGCTGACCTTGTCAGATGCCTCACGACTGGCCGTAGTGCCACCCCAGAGATCAAACCAGAGGTCAGAGTTTAGAGAGTGTTTCAAATATAGACCGTGGTGCCCTAATGCTTGTGCTTATGTACATCCAACTGGTCCTAACTACTTTTTGTTCATCTGTTTATTTGTAACTAAATTAGCTTATTAATTTAGAAGATGTGCTTAGTTTTTCCCAAACGGGTGTTCTACTCTAGTGGAGCACATTTGAACGAGTTGTTGCTTGGTGTGATCCTTTGATTTCAAGATTCATGTTGGCACTTAGTGGGTCTTCACTAATTTGCTATGCATTCATCTCATTACTAGAACTACTTGTGGTTTGATGTGGCTGTGCATTCCACTAACTAGCACTAAAAACAAAAAAGCGGTTAACAGTTTTGCATGCATGTTCATGCATATGCTTCTTGGAGATATTTTTGCACTCTTCTCATACGGATGGCTCTGTCTTGGGAAGCAGAGTGTTATCCATTCCCTCTGAAAATGGACGGACAGACTTTGAATTAGCCACTTTGGAGGAGGAGTTTCTTCAGCGAGCCCTAAACAATGGCACGAGTGACTCTGATGAGGACAGAAGATATGCCGATCCTGTGTTGGATGACCTTTACACCCGTCGTGTGCTCGTCTCGGAGCATCAGACCTCCGTCAATGCCGATTCAGACAAGTTCCTGCCCAAATATTGGACACCTGAGGAAGATCTACATGTGAAAAAGATCAGGATAGGGTCCCAGCGCAAACAACGGCTCTGTGTAGTTAATGCTGCTCAATGTGAAAGCACGCACATGATGGAGATTTACCGCTGATTACAGAACCGGCTTTCTGACAAGATGCGCGTTAAATATCGCATGCGATTTATCGTGCAGCCCTAATGTTGGCACTTAGTGGGTCTTCACTAATTTGCTATGCATTCATCTCATTACTAGAACTACTTGTGGTTTGATGTGGCTGTGCATTCCACTAACTAGCACTAAAAACAAAAAAGCGGTTAACAGTTTTGCATGCATGTTCATGCATATGCTTCTTGGAGATATTTTTGCACTCTTCTCATACGGATGGCTCTGTCTTGGGAAGCAGAGTGTTATCCATTCCCTCTGAAAATGGACGGACAGACTTTGAATTAGCCACTTTGGAGGAGGAGTTTCTTCAGCGAGCCCTAAACAATGGCACGAGTGACTCTGATGAGGACAGAAGATATGCCGATCCTGTGTTGGATGACCTTTACACCCGTCGTGTGCTCGTCTCGGAGCATCAGACCTCCGTCAATGCCGATTCAGACAAGTTCCTGCCCAAATATTGGACACCTGAGGAAGATCTACATGTGAAAAAGATCAGGATAGGGTCCCAGCGCAGGCCATGGTATAAGAAGATGCAGGGCTTCAGGTTTGTGTCATAGAGCCAGTTGGAAATCTTGTAAATAGTCCCATTCCTCCCCAGTTCACAATAAAACATATCATAGAAATGAAATGAAATGAAATCTATAAAATATCATAATTGCTGTCACAGAACTTCTCCTATGCTTGTTTTCCAAATAATTTTTTCTTCAAAATGTCCATATTCTACAACCCACATAGAGCCACTGAATCAAAATTGCAACCCCTGTGTAAAAAAACACAACAGGAACCTGCGTTATGAAGTGTATTCCTGACTGTTTTGGATCAGGTTTATCAAATAATAATAAAATAAAGGATTAAATAATATTATTGATTTGTTTGTTTTTTCCCAAACTCGCCACATAACAAAGAAAGGTTACGTATATTAATCATCAGTAGTGCTACATACTTATGTGACTCCCTGTACTTGGTCTTTTCTTTTTCATCTATTTAAAATAGTCTTTTCCCTTTTCCTCTGCTATTGCTTCCTCCTTTTTCTCTGTCTCTCTCTGTCTCTCCTTCCTCTAGCCGAAAGATGTCTGGTTCCTCTGAGGACGACTCTGATTTTGACATCACTCCTTGGCTTGCTGCACCTGCTTCAAACTTTTCACCTGATTCCAAATCCCCCCACACCTTTTGAGACATTCTTACTTTTTTTTTCTTGTGTAGTAGTGCATTGGATAATTAACTCACGCCATATATATATTTGGAGAAGGATATTGTATTCTGATTAAAGGCAGATGTGCAGAATGTTTATATGAAAATGTGTAAAATAGTAAATAATCACCATAATCTTTTAGCTTTGCTTCATTTGCTGAAACATTCATTTTTTTAGTGGGTACAAGCAATTTATACAGCAGATACTATGTATGTTTGCACCAAAACTTTGCTTCCTTTTTAATGGAGCTTAATTTAAGCCTAATGTAGCAGTTGTGGCCATCTTGAGATTGTAACAAATTCTTGATCTGGTAACATGCAACTAAACTCTGAGCCTAATTTCAGTGTTTCCTTTCCCCAGCCTCATTTATTTATAGGTGTGAGATGACTTGGCCCGAGCTGTGTATGATTTTAAAAAAAGGCCTGAGCATATCCACTGTAAGCACAGATAAAGTGCTGGTTTGGAAAGCTGAACTTAAACTCGCAGCTTTAATGGTACAAGACTGAAAAAAAGTCCATGTAGCACATTTACATAGAATAACTGTGAGAACAGCCCCCAAGACTGCATTTGCATTTCTATAAGATCCAAGCAAAATGAAATCTAGAACATTTGTTTTACAGTAGTTTTACAGTAGGCTTTAAGCAAAAGATCTCAATAATGAAATATCTCTTGGGAGTTAGTTGAGCTGATAGTGTTAAAGATGATTTAAATAGTTTTGCTTCACAGTTGTCATGATGATGTAATAAATTCTGTGCACATGACAACTGGAGCTCTTGATGTTGTTCACACAGTGGAATGTTTGTGTCTATCTGATATGTCAAAGTCTGTACTGTAACTTGTACTGGAATGTCAAATTTACTTTTTTTTGGGCCAATAAAAATACCAGCTCAGTTGCACATCATTTGTGTGTATAATTTATATTTATTTGTTATTTTTATTTTAGTTATTATTATTATTATTATTATTATTATTATCATTAGCAGCTTATCTCTAGGCTCTTATTTGCCTTCAAAAATGGTTCATCCTACTTTTGTGTGTGTGTCATGCTAGTCGTGCAGGTTTTGAAAATCATGAGTGTGGGTAAATGAATTTATTATTATTTTTTTAATAATATATGAATATTATTTGTGTGCACTTCTTTTTAAGTGATCATCCATGGGCAGAAACAAAAATTCTATTCATTTACTATAAATATAATTTTACAATCAAATATTTTCATGGTTTCCCAGATTTCCCATGAGACACTCTCGGTACACAGGGTGAGTTCAGCAATTTTTGACATTGCTTCAGTGTCATCTTGCAATAGCAAACGCCTGATACCTTTTGCATTTGTGGCTTCATTACGTGGGCTGCTTCTATATGAATGTGTGCATTTTTAAGCCTTTGTCCCTCAAGTAAATTATAAAATCAACCATCACACAATATTTTACAAAGTGCTACATGCTATATAGCAGTGCCTTGCATGTTGTGTCTCCTGCAAAAATCTTTGTTTTACGGCATAAACTGTAATGCATACACTTGTTATATTGTAATATTATACTATTATTTTTCCATCATTGTGTGGAGTTTCTGCTGGTTTATCTATCTATTTACTTGATGCTAATGTCTTTATGACACAGCTTTTACAGGGACAGGGTACAGTTCAGGTCTTAACCTCTAGATGTCAGTGTAACACAATTAAACTTCTGTTTTTTGAATGGAGATTATCATTTAAATGAGCATGTCCATCTCCGCTCAACAGAAGCAAATCTATGGGTGACATCACACTGGAGCCCATTCCACAGGAATCTAACAACTGCTCCAGCTTTGACCCGCTGGGGTCACGCCATGTTCACCTGAGGTCTGTTGGAGAGGTGACCCTTGAACCCTCAGCCATACAGAGGGTTCAGCGGGAACAATTACAAAGCATCCGGGACAGAATAAAGGAAAGTGAAGCCAAGTGGCACGAAGTAAGTGATGCTTATTTGCATAGCACTTTTCACATCATGGTGGTGGAACTGCTTATCACACAGACTATAATGAAGAAAAAAGTGTTGATTAAAAAGGGATGGTTCACCCCAAAAAAGGCAATTGTCACATTTACTTACCCTCATGTTGTTTCAAACCTGGATGTGTTTCTTTCCTTTGTGGAACACAAAAGAAGATCTTTTAAAGAATATTGGTAACCAAACAACTGTTTGGACAAAAAAAAAACTATATATTGTATATTGTTAGTATATTTCTCAAAATATCTTCTATGTTCCACAGAAGAAAGTCAGTGAAACCGGTTGGTTATGGTGAGTAAATGAGTAAAAGTATTTATTTTGGCTGTTTTTGGAGCCTAGGGTTGTCCCAGGAAAATTATGAAAATTAATTTCTCAGGACATCTGATTCTGGCAACATTTCTCCTAGATGTTGCTATTTCTGAGTTGGCACTGTGGGGGTCCTCAGTGAGCCAAATAATAACAGAAATGTTTTGTTTTGGACTGGCCTTGGAGATTTTTTATTTTTTTTAAGGTCATTCACACATCACACTGATGTTACTGTCAGACAGTTTTTTTTTGGTTTTTTTCCCTGGTATTTCTTCATTTATCACTCCCATTTTCTCCTCTGTCAAAATTAATTTCTCAGGACATCTGATTCTGGCAACATTTCTCCTAGATGTTGCTATTTCTGAGTTGGCACTGTGGGGGTCCTCAGTGAGCCAAATAATAACAGAAATGTTTTGTTTTGGACTGGCCTTGGAGATTTTTTATTTTTTTTAAGGTCATTCACACATCACACTGATGTTACTGTCAGACCGTTTTTTTTTTGGTTTTTTTTCCTGGTATTTCTTAATTTATCACTCCCATTTTCTCCTCTGTCATTGCAGGATCTGAACAGGTGGAAGAGCCAGCGGCGTAGTGCAAACTTTGACCTCCACAGGAAGCGTGAGGAGAGGGAGCAGATTAAACTTATTACCAATGGGGGAGGGACCAGTGCCATCAGGACTGCACAGCTCACCGGGGTGCCAGAGGAGAGGTAATATATACTGTAATATATCTTACTTGCACAATAATACATTTTCTCTTTGTTTTAGTACATTTTTTAAAGGAATAGTCCAACCACAAATTAACATTCTGTTATTATTTATTTCACTTCCTATTATTTCAAACCCAAATGACTGACAAAGTGGGGAATTCAGCAGAATATCTGCGCTTCTGTCTTCTACACAATAAAAGTGAATGGGGATCATGGGCTGTCAAGCTCCAAAAAGAAGAAAAAAAACTGTTACAGCAAGCACTAGCCAAATATTTGAATGTTGAAAAGGAATCTCATTGGCTGCTGATGCAAAAGGAAACCAATCACCTGCGCCATGTGAATGATGATGTAATTATAGATTGAGTTAGAACCTATCGGCCTGCGCCATCTAGAGTTTCATGACATAACTTTGTATTACTTATGACTACTTTGACTATATTCAGTGTCCTCTGGAAAAAAAAATACAGTAGCTTTGTGTAAAGAACAGATAAAAGTTATTTACTGAAATTGTTGACTGACAGCAGTGGTAGCCATTTACTTTCATTGTATGGATTTTTTTCTAAATAACGCCTTTTCTGTTTATGCAAGAAAGTAAGTTATGTGGGTTTTAGAAGACATTATGCCGATTAATAATATGCTGATTAATAATGAAAGAACTTTTTATTTTGTCTCAAATATTGCTTAAACGCAGATTCTCTAAGAATGAATTGCACCCACTAAAAGCTCTGTTTTTTGCATGTGCTACAGTACATGCTGGTTTAGATCCAGATTTGCTAAAGATCAATCAAACATGCCCATAAAATTATTAGTGCTGATGGCAATTTCCACCTGGGTAAAATTGATGCAGACGTACATATAAATGGAATAATATGGTCTCCTTTAAATGAAAATCATATTCCTGTTCAAAGAATTGCGATAATGGTGCAATGTAAATTACGAAGAAAACAAATGCGCCGCAACTGTTTAGTGAATTCCATTAGTTGACGTCACTTGACAATAAGGTTATGTTTGTTAACATTAGTTTATGTGTTGGGTATCATGTTCTGGCCCTGAACAGTGCTTCTACAGAGTTTATTAAGTTTGGTAAATGTTAATTTCTACATTTACAGTTTTAAGATTTCAAGGTAATTTAAAACTACTTAATTATGAATGAACTTGATTTAACAATAGTATATTTATACATTACCATCAGCCTAGATTAAAGGTGTATTAACCTTTTCCCCCACCAGTATTTAAAAAAAAAAAGTTGCCAGTCGCCACCTGCAATTTTGATCTTCTAAAATATTTCATGGCCCCCAGGATACTTTGTTGTATGTATATTTGAACATGCAATATGTCAAAAGAAGGAACAGAGCCTCTGCTTAAAAAAATAAATACAACAACAACAAAAAAAAATCAACATTTGAATGTGGGTAAGTTAAATAAAAAAAAAAAAAGCAACATTTTGAACAAAAAGCCGAGAAAATCTTGTTTTTATCAAAGATGGATGGTATTAAGAACTTTGTTCGTAACATACAGTAGATGGAGTAGATTGATTCCATCACCACCCCCTAATGCCCCGTTCACACTACAAGCGACACGCAACAGCCGAGCGACACAATCCCATTCATTTCAATGGAGAGCTGGCGATTTCCGGTGACACGAGCGACAGCGGCCATTGGCGACCGGATGGGGCGTGTCCAGCGACGCGACAAAGTTCAGAATCCTTCAACTTTATGCAAATGAAGAGCGACTTTCGGGAGCGACAGCCAATAGGAAAGAAGACGGTAGAGCTCATGTGATCGTTCTCCTCTCAGTGCCGTAGATAAACATACACAATGGAAGAAAGTAGGCTCTGTTTCTCATTCATTTTTGTTTGTGTGTACGGATTTAATTTAGATTTAGATTATATTTAGTCTTTTGCCTCCAAAATGTTTGTACTTGGCGGCAAGAAACCTGATTCGCTGTCAAGGCAACCAGTATTGAGAACGCCCACTACATGCAGTGACAAAAGTCGCTGCTAGTGTGAACGGGGCTTAAGCTTGCACAGTCCTGTACCACTTCCTGGGTCGACATTTTATTCGATAACTTTAAAGGCAGTTTTGAATAATATGCTGTTTAATGTTTGATGATCACCTGCTTACATACGCGATAGATTTTTCTGCTGCTTCTTCACTGTGTTTTGATCCAGAGGTTTAGTACTCTTTCAGAAGATGTGTAATAGCGCCCCCTACAGTATAATAGGGAAAACACAGAAATCTGGAAAAATCTGTCAAGCATTGCTGTTCTCTGTCTACTTTAAGTACCAATACCACAGTGGTGTTAGATGCTGCATTGTCATCTACTGACATGGATCAGCATGCTCGTTTTTTGGAAATTACACTGATACTAGTGGGTTTTAGAGAGCAGTCTATGCAATAATTAATTACTTTTCCAGTCCAAAAGCAAAAAAAAAATACCTTAAGCACTACTCAAGATTTTCTCAATCAAATCTTTCCACTTTTTAACTTTATTGGTATTTCTTTCTTCTTGCGTCAGACCTTTTCCATACAGAGATGGATTTTACCCTCGTCTCAGTTGGTAAACAATAAGTATGTTCCGTTGTCTAATTTTCGCTTTTCATAGCAAGGAACTACACTACAGTTCTAGCATATCTATATAATTAAGACACTTTTTACAGAAAACTATTAGTACAGTCTTCATCTCAGTAAGTGTAAAGCATGCATATGACACTGTTTATTTCTTAATGTGTACCATACTACTGAATGCACCTTTAACAATGAAGAAAAGTAGGCTATATTTATAAATCAACATCCACCTAAGATTAATAAATACTCTAAAAGATTTAGTTCATAATACCTAATGCATTAACTGATGATATCAAATTGAATGTTACTCTAAAGTGTTACCACTTGGTGTTCACTTGTGGATAATAGAGACATTTGATAGTTACACCTGTCCTCTAAGCCCTCTCCACCCCCTACTTCTCTTCCCACCCTTTAGTGCACAGGTGACCACTAATAGCCATGTGCTTTCTAGTGGAGTCCTGCCCTGGGATCAGATCAGGCATTCAGTCCAGTTTCCATTTCACTCTCTTCCAGCTCCAAAATGCCTGGACCCATGAGTGATGCGGGCTCCAGTGTCAGCAGTACTGGGTGGTCCACCACCTTGGCTTCACCCCTCACAAACGGGACATCTCCTGCTCTGACCAAAGGCACTGGTGCAGAGACGACTGACTCAGCTGGTGAATTCTTCACCCCTCCAGCAGCTGTTGTCTCTGAACCGAGTTCACTGACCAGCCTGGCTACCAGGGATCCAGAACCCTATGAGCAGCAGGGTCCAGACTTCAGCCACCGCACAATCCTCCTGGAGAGCTTTTATGCAGGGGGAGCACGCATATCTGCCACTCTACCCAGAGGTTTCAGAAGGTCAGAAGGTTCCTCACGCCTCTCCACGGGTGTCACACCACGTCCATTTGGAACCAAACCCTCCAAAGTGTCCTCACTGCCAAGAGCATATTCCGTAAGTGGCCATTATTAGTCTTACACAATATAGATCATGTTCTTTCATCCAGGAAAAAAAAAATCTCACAGTGGAGGCTTTTGATTCTGATTAATGGTATTTTTTGCTATATCTGTCTATTTCACATGGTATTTAGTATCTCATTGTCTGATTCATAATGCAGCAACTACAATACTTTCTCTGTGATGTTCTCTTTTGTTTCTGTTTTTATAGAGTGTAGTTTTCTTTTTCTTTGTACTCTGAATATTCCACTCCAACAGGACCATGATCTTATAATAAAACTGCTTATTCCATGCCTAAAAGCAGGAATCACCAAACTCGGTCCTGGAGGGCCGGTGTCCTGCAGAATTTAGCTCCAACTTCAGCTAGCCTCAACACACATGTACTGGAAGTTTCAAGTATACCTAGTAAGACATTGATTAGCTGCTTCAGGTGTGTTTGATTTAGGGTTAGAGCTAAACTCTGCAGGACACCGGCCCTCCAGGACCGAGTTTGGTGACCCCTGCTTAAAAGGTTTGACCTTGGACTTATATAAAGGCTCAGTTTATATAAGGATGGGCAAAAGTACCTGAGTACTTGAAAGTGACAGCAATGATCAATCATGAAATCAATCACACGTTTTAAAAAGTGTTATTTTCTTTTTTCTGATTGGTTATGCCGCCATTTTGCATTTTACCTTGAGGTCTGATTGGTTATTGTTGAGACAGCATGCCTCTAGACCAGAGAACTAAAGTGAATGCGCGCAGTGATACCTGGAAAGTATGCTTTTTTTTTTTCTTAATATTTATATATTTGCTTTGAAATGGCTTAAATGGGTGGTTTTATTTTCAATTAGAAGACATTGTCACCCAAACAGCCATTATAGCTATTTGACTTATTTTGACTGAAACGTACTGGTTCAAACGGTTTCAAATGATTGAATATATAATGTCAATTTTAAACATATTGCCCAACAACATTTATTTTCAGTGGCTCTTACAGTATTCTTTCAGACCTGAGTGCTGACCTACACTAATTGTTTGTTTCTAAATAGTTCTTAAACACACTTGATAAAGGAGTGAGGGATGAGGAAGAGAGTGATAGTTGGTGTGGTGTTCTGTGTGTGAAGTTTAGTGTTACTCCTCATCATCTGATCATCTAGCGGCTGGCTTATGAATAATGGATAAAGCCACTACTACTGCACTCCGGGTGCTTAATGAAACCCAAGCTGTGACTTTGTTGTGTGTGTATGTGTGTGTGCTCTTTTCCATGACGAGCTTCTCAACCTTGCATGGTCACACTTGGTGTTTGGTCACTTTGTCTCGAACAAAAGCAATTATGTATTCTCTGTGTCAGTAACTGTATTGTATGTTGTTTTTGATTTGTTTTTTTTATAAGAATGTGCCTATCAATTTGAATTGAAGATTAAAGTCCAAAAGAAATGACACCTGAAGGTAGTTTCAGAGGTGGAGCAGGTTATTTGTGTTTTTGTTTTAGCAAGTGCATATATGAAGACCAGGAAAGGGATAAAATAAAATGGAAAAAAAAATTATAAATACAAAAATAAAATAATGTGGTCATTTTCTATTGAGGCCAATAATCCATTTTTTTCATTGCTCTTTAATACACATTCCTAAATTGGTATTCTCTTTATAATGCTCTTCTTTTCACAAGGGGAAAACCTATGTCTAAACCAGCAGTCTGAGTCTCAATATCAAGTAGAATTTGGCACTGCCATTGCTGAAGTGGTTGCAGAAGGAAGTAACCACTTTTATGTATTTGCTTTTATCTTTTGGTTTCTACAGATGGATGACTCTCATAAAAGCCTGATCAGTGGAAACGGAGATAATTCAATCATCCCCTCTTTCCTCAGCGGTCAAGGAAAGGTCAAAGCCTCTGTTGACACGGTCCACTCTCGTTCAAGCACTCATCCAATCAACCCTAAGAAGGAAGAAGAAGAGAGAAGAGATGGACGGTCATCAGCACCTCCCATTAACTGTTTTGTCACTGAAGTGACAATGGCTGCCTCTAATATTCAAACAAAATCTCCTGTTGTTGCCGAAATCAGGGACATTAAGGTAGATTGCTTGACAATCTGAATCAATTAAATCAAATCGTGACATCCAGGATATCCTTAACCTACCTAAAAAATATATATTTATATTTATATATATTTATATTTATATATTATTTATTCATTTATTTTATTTTTTTCTTTGCTTGAGTTGTACTGACTAGAGCAGATTTCTCGCCTCACTAGCTGCTGCCTGTCTGTCAGGAAGCTGTTGATCCACTGACAGACGGAGGTGGGCACGAAGAGCTGAGTTAGTTTGGGCAGGATGAGGTTTGGGATGATAAATATGATAGATGTGCAATATATGGATGTTTCTACCATACAGAATCTCCATTTAGGGGAATAGGGTGCATTGGTGCAACTTGGTGGTGTGGTGTGTTTATGGATGAATGGAGGTGTGTACAGTAGACAAGAACAGTGTATTTAGGAACTCGAGTTAAAAAAAAAAAAGCTTAATATCCTAAAAGTTTTCATAATATGCTGCTTTGGGAAATCATGATGAAGGGTGCTCTTTATGTACTTGTCGAGTTTGTGGATGTTTATTGTGTATCACACTGTGTCCTTGAAAGTTATTTTCAGTTTCTTTCATTTTTAAGAACGCTTTTTAAGGAGTGTTTTTGTGCATGTATCGCCAAGTATGCTTCTGTTCACCCACACTGTGTCATTCTCAGGATTCTGGAGTGAGATTGAGATGAATGATTTATAGAGAACAGCGAAGGTGTTTCTTACTGTGCATTAGTCTGATTGGTTAAACTGAAGACGTCTTGTGGGGAGTCTGGTCCTGAGCTTAGGATATATCTTCGTGAATGAGAGGAGCTTGAGCATTCATCTGTGACCGGTGCGCTTATAAAAGCAGGTCAGGGCAGCCATGCATGCAGTAACTATAGCTTAAAGCACATCTCTGGTATATGTGACCCTGGACCACAAAACCAGTCATAAGGGTCAATTTC